ATGGTAATTCATTGCAAGCAAAATGTGTGACCATCATCTCAACATACAAATGAAATACGCAGCACGCAGTGTTGCGCGGTGTTGCGCAGTCGAACCGCACTCTTTTTGACCGTGTGAATGCCCAGAGCGACACCAAAAGAAAATTTGAAAAACATCAGACTCTTTTGCATCCCTGTCTGAAACGGCACATAACAATTTAGTGCCGTTAACAGCAGTATCATAAAGTAACCTTTATTCAGTTGGACGCTCGTCGTCCAATTGATATGGCATTGCGCCGGAGTGGCATAAAATGGTGGCGCAGTCGTCTCTGTGCCACTCACTGCTGTCGGATAATAACCATGCGGCTTGCCACGCCGTAGCAAAGATGACTTGGTCGTAGTATACGGTAATACAGACGATTCATGCTAATTTTATTTTATTTGTTTTTTTTTGTTCTGCTTTAGGACACCCTTGTTAAGGGTGTGCAGAGGCGTGAACGGTGGGAAGTGTTGCTCGTATTGCCGCTGAAATGTAAGAAAAAGCCCAAAACTTGTGGATTACTATGTGCATATGTATATCAGACATTTACATATGTATGTACTTAGATTTGTCTTACGTACATACTTATGTATGTATGTACATAAAAGTGTGTGTTTGCGCAATAGAGTGATGATGTTGATATCCACTTTTCTGTAGTATTTCTACTTCTATTTGTAGTATATACATACAATGCTTGTTCTGATTTGGTATTTGAGCTTTTTGTTTAACTTTGAATATGCTATATCTTTATTTCGTTTACTTTGTTGGTATCTGAGTACTGCTTATTTGGTTACTAGATTGTTTGAGTGACTATCACGGCTTTTACACACAGACTCTTGTGACCCTCGTTTTCGTCAAATTCTTTTTTGGTGTTGCTCTGTGCATTCACACGAGCAAAAAGCGTCCAGCAACTTAAATTGAGTTTTTCTGTGATTCCTTTTCATAAAATTTTCGAAAATATTTGTGCGGTTCGACTGCGCAACACTTAGAGCGTGTTGCATATTTCATTTGTACAAGTATGTTGGGATGATGGTCTCACATTTTGCTTACAATGAATTACCATGAATATGGTAGAATATATGCATAATACCTACCCGCTTAATAGTTTCAAAGAAATACTTAAGACGGGAACTCCCTAATCCACCAGAATGTATTGAATACCCGCTACTAATATTTTCAAAGCCAAATTTATAACAGGAATTTCCTAATCTTAAAGTATTAAAAATTCATAATTTCTTTAAATATAATATTTTTGTGTATCTTAATTTTCTCCTTATTTACAATTTCAATTTAATTACAATTAATATTTCTATTATTCTATGCACACATATTTGCATATTACATACAAAAAATAGATAACAGAATTGAAATTTGTGAACGAATTCATTTGAAACCGAGCGCTCTTGCAACCGTTCAAAGAATTCGAAAGTGAAAAGGAATGCTGAAAAGGGTAGCAGCGAGCTGTTACGAACAAAAACACAAAGCGTGCCACCCGAACACGAGTGGCACGGTCCCTTCGTCTTTCCTCGTCGTCCCCTCGCCCACAATAAACCGGTTTGGGTTACAAAAGAGTCTGTGTGTAAAAGCCCACTATGAGCACATAATTCTCTCCCTAATATAATACAGTTAACACTAAGCAGCTGTTCTTTGTTTATTTATAATTCTATATTATTATCGCTTTATGGCGTTATTGGTACTAATTATTGGATTTTCATTTGCAAATAAAAATAATTCGGATTTTGAACAATAAGCCGTTATTTGTGTTAGCTTGTGTTTCTTATTGGGTCTGGGAACTATACGAAGTTCTGCAGCTCGTCTGATGGTATGTTTAAAAGAATGAAACATGTTTATACATAGTATGTAAGTACATGCAAATATACGAAAATAGTTGAATATTTGTAGAGAAATTATCTAAGTTAAATAGTGATTCTACTTTGGATTTTTAGTCGACTAATATTGCAATTAGGAGGTCATTTACCATAAAGAACAAAATCTTGACAGTTTCATTGGGATTGATTAGTTTCAGTAGTTGACTTTTAAGACGGGGTTTTTGTGATGCTAAACAACTTCGGGAGTTGGATCTCATGTATTGCGAAGGAGTCTTGAACCCATTCGTTCAGGCGATTTATGTATTTGGATTACAGTTAGTTTAAAAGGATGGCTAAAGGTGATTGCGCTTGGAATACAGTTAATTAAATCTGCTTATTGTTCTCTAGCCAGTAGACCGCACAAAATGCTACTTAAAAGTCCAAAAATGTATTTAGGATTGAATAGCTGATTGCTAGAGCAAATCGATCAGTAATATATCAGTATAACTCGATTTCTGGAATAGTCTTCAGCTCTTTCAGCGACTTCATCATGTAAGAGGACGGTCCTGTAAGGTTCTCTTTATGTTTGAAAATAGGAAAAAGTCAGAAGGACCCATGTCTGGGGAATATGGAGGCTGGTATCGGGGTTTTTGGCCAAGAAATCACGAACAAGCAACAAAACGTGAGCTTTAAACCAACGAAAATCGTGAAGCTCCTAAAAACCTGCCTAACCTTAGCAGTAGCAAATTTTATCGTACTCCAGGGGCATGTACATAGATATAATATATCAAAAAATTTAATCTTAAATTCCCGGTATTTTATGAAAATACCCTTAGGGTATTCATTGTATATTGTGTCATATCGTCATATTGTCTTATTTTTTTATGACTGTCATATCAACACTTTTGTTGTTTCCCATACAAAATTGAAATACGACAAATACAACACGGCGAGGTATGTTTTTTGAGTGTGCTATTCTATCAGCTATATCTACTCTTTTTATTGCTGACGTTTAGGTGTCTAAAATTGATAAAATTCAATTTTTCTTTAATAATAATAAATTTCTTTAATAATAATAAATAATCAGGTAAATTAAGTTGAAGAAAAGTGAAATATTGTGGTTGCAATGTAAACTAAAATGCCGGCGGCTCAACATAAAGAAGCTTTAATTTTATTTTTGTCACTTTCTAATGGCATTTTTGTATTCTTAATTTTACACTAACAGCTGGTGAAGTGAAGAAATATTACAGAATATGACATACAACAATTAAGGGGTGCTCACAAGTGTCGTATTTTTTAAGACAATTGAAATACGACATAACACATAAGACGAAGCTTGTGAATTGCACAACTATATTTTTGTATTTAACAACTGCATTTTGTACTGTGTATGTACACTGTACCATGTACTGTCTTTCAATCTCAGACATTTCCAAAAGCCAAAAAAAATTTTGCCTTTATTATGAAAATATGTGCAATAATGCTTATGATACATTGAACATTTACAATAAATAAATACTATGGAAAAATACTGTTCTATGCAATTAAATTCTGTATTCCATTGTTTTAACCTGTTAGTTGACATTTGTATTTTTCTATTTTTTTTATTTTGCAGAAGTTGCAGCCTTTGACTTACGTCTTTCTTATCTGTCTCTTATTTTTCGCAGTGCCTTGGAAACATTGATGACAGAAGCATTAGACCCCCCCATTTAGTGAGCTCTTATGCTTCGTTTTGTAGCGAAAGCTTTTAAGCAGTTGCGTCAATATGCACTCCAAGTCCACCAAGATCTTAACACGATCTAAATCGCATGCCGTCGGTATTATCGGTCAGTTTATTCCCCACAAGTGAAACTATCACATTTATTCAAAACCACCAGCTTGAATAGAATTTCAACCATCTCTTTACAAACTCGAAAGAAAGTGGTATTTTAACACAAATAACTACCTACAAACATACAAGAATTTGACTGCCCCAAGAATTTATTATGGACTCTGTCATACATACCATACATGAGCTTCCGGACCCGCCGCGCTTATTTGCGCCTTTATTTCCTTACATTACGTACATACGTATGGCCATATAACCCGCTGCCTTTGCACGCCACTTCAGTTAAGTTACTCACGTTACGGCAATGCATACAACCGAATGACATGAAAGGGGAGCGCAACTGTGAAGAGTGAAAAAAGCATAAACGAAGCAGACGACGGACGCACATAAGCGCACAAATTGTATACAATTTCAGTGCCATTTTAATTTCCCGCCGGCATTAGGGTTCGACTGGAATAGTGAGAAAAAAATTAAATAAAACGAAATTAATAAAAAAAGTACAATAACAAAGAGGCAGCAGTAACACGCACACATTCAAAATAGTTGTTTTCACACTGCCTTCTTCAGGTTTATTTGCTCGGGATTTCACGTCGACCAGAGAGCAGCAACCGACAAGTTACGTATACCACAAGTCAACATACGCCAACGTGCAACAATACACTCCAGCTGGCAAACGAGCAAAAGAAAAAAGGATATGGAGTCAAGGAGTAAAAATATATACATGGGACCCTCATATGTACATAGGTATGTATGCATATGTAAAAAATAGATCGAGCGTAAAAAAACGAAGCGTGTTGGAGAATGAAAAACAGAGACACATTTATATATCTATGGTATGTAAGTGGAGAATGAAAGCGTCAGCAAATTGTTCGGGAATTGGGCGCATAGTGTACATACATATGTACATACTTACCATACATATATACAAATGTATACATATATATGCATGTATGTTGTTTACGTGCACTTCTGAACTTCTAAACCAAAAACGTATCTTCATATCGCTGTTGTACACAACATCGTCACATTTTGAAAATTTTTGTGTTTATATACATACAAGTATGTGTATATGTACTTATTGCAGCTGCTCTTGTGCTTACGCTGAAATCCGTACTTGGGGTCCGTTTTGTGTGCACTTGAGTGGCTCGCTAGTGAATCCCATCGCGCGGCTTACAAGCCGGCGTACTAGTACATTCAGCACACGCCATACGAACTTCAGCAAACAAATGCACACATACATAAATACATACGTATTTGCTTATGAACGCTTGTTTGATGTTAAAACGCAGTTGCTTTGAAATATGCCCTCATTTTCACTCTTATCTATTCATCTTTCCCGGTGGACTTTCTTCAGTGAAAGTATTAAGTTCTCTTATTCTAAGCGCCACAAATAATTGCAATACAGTTACACCCCAGAAACAGTTTAAAATTTCAATTAAATTATAAAAATAAATTGTATGTGCACGATTAGTACATACATATTTATGTAGCTTCTTCTATTTGAAATGTAAGTTACTCGGAAAGTGAGAATAATTAAAATACTAATGTGGCCCATGAGGGGATCGAACCCGCGACCTTCGCGTTATTAGCACGACGCTCTAACCAACTGAGCTAATGGGCCAATGGTCCCCTTTTGCATAGAGGACATATACTTATGTATATATACACATACTTATCTATGTACATACTTATGTATTAAAAATAATCACTGCCAATTCTCACATGCATTTAAAAATAATCTGTATCATGCGGTCGAATAAAATACTTGTATGCATGCGTTTATCATTTGTCTAAACTTTGTTTAATTTAGTCTATGTATGTTAATGGTAAACATGTTTGTACATTATATTAATATAAATGGTGTTTTTTAGTCATGTGGTTTTCAAGAAGAAAAAAATACATAAATAAATAATATTATTATTTTCCAAGGTGCCAATCGTTTCGGGCTTATCTGCATATACAAGCGACTTCACATAACCCCATAAAAATTACAGTAGTCTTAAATCACACGGTCTTGGTTTCCTTCAATAATTTGATTGTTTCTTTGACTGTATCGCATATCTTCTTAGAGCGAAAGGCACGAAAAATTCATTAACCATAGCTCTATAGCGTTCCCCATTGACTGTAACATTATGACCAGCTTCATTTTTGAAGAAATATTGATCAGTGATTTCCTCTGCCCATAGAGCACACCAAACACTGACTTTTTGACATTGGTACGGTGTCTCAACAATAGCTTGTGGATTATCATCACTCCAAATTTTGTTTATTAACGTACCTAATCAACCAAAAGTGAGCTTCATTGCTGAAAAATATTTTTTTTGTGAAAATCGGGATCGGTGGCCATCTCGTTTTGGGCTTACTTCAGTAAGCCAGTAAGTCAATTTGTTATATAATGACAAACCAAACTGAGTATAAATCAAGTAACAGCTGTTAAAAAGACCAACTCCGAAAAATGTATTGCCTCATTAAAAACCACGTGTCTAAAACAAGTAAGGATGGGCAAAGTTCGGGTGTAACAAAGCGGCCTAAATACCTTCAGGTTTTGGCAAAACTTTATATTAAAATGTGTTCCGAAAAATTCAACAAAATGTTTGCAGAAATTTTGAATGGATTACAATTAAATTTGGTATCTTATCAACTTATGGTACATCTATCGAAGGTCATAGGCTCACTTAGTTTTATTACTATATTTTACTTCCCGTCAGCGAAAATTATACTAAAAACATCCTCAAAGGGTTATATGTGATGTAAACTCAACCGAGAGGTTAAATTTAATATACTGAAGTTGAGATCAAGACCAATTCATTTAAATTGAGCCCTAAACCATTTATATAATTTTATATCTTTTAAGAAAACGTGTCCACTTAATTAAAATATCACACATTTTGACCCACCTAAACTGTTTAAAGTCAGGTGGAAAATCGGAAATCGTTATATAGGGTATATTAAGCGGCATTGCATACATTTTTGACATTACTCAGGTATACTTTAGGACTTGTTTACAAGCAATTTTATAAATATATAAATATAAACAAATACATATATGGAGTACAATCAGCCAGATGTTTCAAAATCCTGAATATGGGGGCTATGACAAGTTTTCGCCCGACTTTATCCATTTTAGGCATAAAGATACGCTGTTATTAGAAAATTACACTCTTTTAATTTCGTTAAAATAACTCTCACATTGGCCGATATACATATGTAGCCCAAAGGATGTTCGAAAATCTTTATATTAGGTATATGGGGGCTCAGGCACGTATTGACCCGATTCAACCCATTTTTTACACAAAAGTATATTATTATTAAACAAACATTTTCCTCGAATTTCAATAATATATATCACAGATTGACCCATATTTTCTGCAAAAATTCAGCCATATGCACTGGGGTCGTCCACATATTTATTATACTCGTAATAATAATAATAACCCAACGATTACCCTCCCAAACGACGCGAGGGGCGCAATCCGCATACGTGCTGAATTAGCCGAGTCAGAAAAGGCAAGAGAGTTTTTTAAGTGTTGAGATCTAAAACTGCTCAGCTACAGAAACAAAAACTTCAACAGTTAAGATTTATAGTTACGATATAATAAACTGCTATATTTTAATTCATTAAGAGAAAACAATAAAGTCTTTTTAATTTTGAAAAGTGAGTCAGACAAGTCAAATGTGCTGGAATGAGAATTAAAATCATGACATATACGGCGGGATGGTTCGTTTAGTTCGAAATTTGATCTACAGGATTTTAACCGTAAAGGTCTAAACTGCCTCGAAAAGCGAATCGGGATATTAAATTTAATTTCAGACAGACTGCAAACTGTTCCATTCAAGATTTTCACTAAGAATATTATGCCAAGCATTTCCCTACGACTAGAAAGTGTAGGTAGATTAATAAGTTTTAAACGACTAGTGTATGGAGGTAGACTTACTCTAGAATCCCATCGGAAATGCGCTAAGGCAAAAAGTAAAAATTGTTTTTGAACAGACTCTAACTTGTCAGAATGGATTTGGTAGTTAGGGTTCCATACAACAGAGCCATATTCCAATATAGGTCTAACCAAAGTTGTATAAAGTGCTTTAGTAATATACGGATCTCTAAATTATGTAGACCAACGTTGAACAAAACTGAGGAGGACAGCTTTTGCTTTCAAGACCATGGTGTCAATATGAAGACAAAAATTAAACTTAGGGTCCATATTAACTCCCAAATCAACATAGTTAAAAACTTTCTCCAGAATATGGTGTTTTATTACAAAAAAAGCCTTTAAGCATCGCAATCCAGCATTGGTGGACACAAAGAATGCAGCAGCTTACGGATATCGTTTTGATGGTAAACGGCGTTTCAATTTAAAATAAAGAAGATATATAATAATTACATTGTGTGCGCTCCTTATCGTTTCTATAAAAATTCAATAAAATTTTAAATTAATAATTAATATCCAATGCCAATGGAGTTGGTTAGTCTTTGTTTACCAGTTCATTGAGTTATATGTATATACAATGTATTAGTGCATAAATATGTATGTATGTATATGCTTAAACTCTGATTTGCTCACCCAACGAACCATAATGAAATGGTATAATATCTATCGTTATATCAAAACTGCAAAATTTCAAAAGCTTTATATCAATAAATCCACGCGATATGGTTAAGGTTATTACACGTGCACTCGTCAACATGGCAAGTGAGCCGGGTAGGGATGAATTGAGTCGTTCCAAAATTCAGTTGCAATCGATGCTATTAATGAACCTGGAATCAAGGCCGGTTGTATTTGAAGACGTGGGTAGACAAGTTCTGGCAACAGGTCATCGCAAGCGACCTGAACACTTTATACATGAAATCGAAAAAATCAGTCAGGGTGATATATAGCGTGTAGCTCGACGCTTACTCGCCACCGTGCCATCAATGGCTGCCCGTGGTGATATCGGCAAATTGCCGGAAATGAAGGACGTACAAAGCGCTCTCAGCAACGGTGGTCGTTTATCCTCTCGGCGACTCTCACTGTTTAAGTGAAAATCCCATGTACATACAATTAAAGAGAATATCAAGTCTTTTTGCTTTATATAGGTAATATAAACGAAATATAATTATTTGGAATAATATGTAAGCACGTGTGTTCCGTTCAAATAAAGCCACGTTACTGAATCCATTGCAGCATATCATACTCTCGTAGCAATTACGTAAATTCTAACTCCAAACTCATAAGTAATCACATTTTTATTAAAGATCAACATAAGATCAATTAGAAATATTAAAACAAAATTGTTTTTTGTGCGTTTTGATTGACAATGAGAAAAATGCGCTCAATTAGAAAAAAAAAAAAGTTTGTATTAGTTATTACTCGTAGCCACAAATTATGCAATGGATTCATACAGAGGCATGAGTTTAAATTCATTGTTGAGAGTGTATTCATAAGTAATGTTTTTTTTTCAAAACGAAATATTCTGCCATACTTTGCATACATTTTTTATGTATATATTCGAAAAATAAAATTTAAATATCGAAGAGGGGTGCACAGATCTATGGGAAAAGCTCATCGTCTTACATTTATTGAGATTCAATGGCAAATCATTTCTATCACACCACGCAATCATATTGTTTAAGTCTGTTTGCAGTTTTCCTCAGTTGAAGTGTATGATTGAAAAAGCTTTACGTCGTCAGCGTATAATAAAATTTTTGAGAATTCAATTACTGAAGAGATATCGTTAATAAACAACAAGAACAGAATCGGGCCAAG